GGACTAGTTTGTGTATGTTTTACTGCTTTGTGGTTCGCCCTGTATTACTGTTTTCCCTTTCATTTATTGCTATACTTTTTAGTTTGTGCTCATTGACTGTCCACTTGTTTGTTCAATTGTTTGGTGGACTCAAAGAGAAGTAAAGTGCACAGTTAGGCACAGCAGCCACTGTTCACTGGGATGACCTCGCACTAGTCGATTCATGCTGCCGTCAATTGGTGAGGGGAGAAATAGTTTTCTGAACGCTTGTAAGACCTTAATTAGATTAGGTTGGTGTGTACAGTGCACACTGGTGTGTTGGGCCGTTGTTGATGATGGTGCAAATGCAAATTGTGGTACTTGAAGAGGCTGATTGACACGTGACACGAGGGGAGAGAGAAGGCTTTGCTTAGAAGATGAGGAACATCTGCAGTCGGACAGATGGCAACTGTTAGCTGCATTGCTATCTAATTGATTCGATGTTCTGCTTAATTGGTGATTGAGAGGAACGATTGACTTCAGACAAAGATGACTGGGCAGACAGTGCAGTGCACTACGCACACTTTAATCAACATCTATTGCTTCATTTCTGTGACTAGAATTGGATCATTTTTGTTTTAATTTTAGGCTGCTATTCAAAAATACGCTAAAAGTCTTGTTGTGGAGGAACTTTTCAGTTTTTTAGCACCTGTTCAAGACAATTGAGACATTTAGTTATACGCTTTTATTTCTACTTTGATAATAACTTAATTTGTACAGCATTGAGACGTAACGTCTTTTGGCTTCTGAAAGTCGTGCGCACCGCTGTTACCTGAATTGACCAGGGCCATTGACTGGTTTTTGCTAATGGCAACACACACACACACACACACAAACAAAGCTGCGGTAATATTAGCGAGCGATATGGTCTTTTCAGGTAATAGCTGCTCACTGATTGCTCATTGCGCCAATTAGACAACTAGAGGAGGCTTCGTGACTAGCAGAGATTGGCCTGCTCTGCTGTGCCCGCTATTAGTCAGTCATTAGTGGTGCGGTAGTAGTATTGGCTGCCCAGAGCAGACAGGTCGATAATGTGATCAATTTAGCGTTTGGTTTGTTGCTATATCTGCCTGTGAGATGGAAAGCTTATAAATTTTTCATTTTCAGCATTACACAAACCAGAAGCCGGAAAATGTAGTGCACTGATAGCCATCTCCGGGTACCTGATTGATTCTGATGGCCATCTGACACGATAATTGGAAGAGCTAGCAGACAGCTGTCTGACTTGACTCTCCGCTATACTTTAGCCCCTTCTTCTCTTTAGCCTTTTACGTGGTTATTATTTTTATAAGATAATCTGCTCCCAGTGCAGCACTAGATCATATGCTAAAGCGATGTATACTGGTAATTGCATTGGTAATTCATAGCACAACTGTTCGGCCGCTGAGGTGCCTGATGCCGGACGCCAGTCCTAATGGGCAATGAGGGGCGCACTGTTTCTTTTTCTCTCATTCTTTTGATTACGCGTACATCTTCATCCCGTTTACCCGCCTAATCGGCGTCCATCTCCTGTCTCGTATATTGCTTCCATCCGTCCATATACCACCCAACGTGTCTGTGTGTGGTGCTCCCTTGCAGTTCTCTCTCTCTCTCTCTCTTTCTCTGTGCACTGTGCCTGCACCACCACAATGGCCACCACCAGTACCTGCCAATTTGGCCGTGTGCACTGCACTCTATTGCCTTCCTTAATTGACATATCAACAGTCGAAACACTATTCTGTGGCAGTCCACNCTCTCTCTCTCTCTCTCTCTCTCTCTCTCTCTCTCTCTCTCTCTCTCTGTGCACTGTGCCTGCACCACCACAATGGCCACCACCAGTACCTGCCAATTTGGCCGTGTGCACTGCACTCTATTGCCTTCCTTAATTGACATATCAACAGTCGAAACACTATTCTGTGGCAGTCCACCTTCTCACTTTTCTTTTTCTCCCCCTCCCCTCCTTAAATTTCCAGTCCCGGGCAAATTGTGTATTTTGTTTTTTTCTTTGTAATTGATTACTCCGAAGGAGTGTGTTTGCATTATTCATTTGAAGGCATATGCAAATAGGAAGAGTGATGAGATTGAATTTAAATTATGAGAAACATTGTGGTATTTTTAGAGAAAGAGATCATCATCATTACAGGAAGAAGGAATTCGGGCTCAAGGTTTGGCTTAATTATCGATTCAATTTTCGTTTGCTTTTTAAGAGAATTTTACCAAACTTTTTTGGTGATAAACTTTTTATGAACACTGTGAGTAAATTAGCAGCACAAATTCATTATTTGGCAATTTGTAGAATGATATTGTATTAGCTTGACATCCTAAAACGATCTCCAAGTCTATGTTTGGGGAATGTGCAAAGAAAGGCACATTTTTGTCAGTTGCAGACGGACTCGGTTAATTGTATCACTTACAGGTTGCCGTCGAGGCTGAAGAAAGTGACAGTTTGTCTCCGTCTTCCTTGATGATAAATCCTTTAGATCCCTACGGTTTCACTGTGCGTCAGCTATTTCGAGCTTCTCTGCACCGGTAATGGTGCTGAGCCAACTGCTCAGCCAACAGTCAGCTGCTCGTACACTTGACAATAGCTCTACCTTCACTGGGAAGGCACAATTCTGTAGTGGCGGCCAATTGACATGACTTAATGCCTCGGAATATTAACGCCACTGTGACGTTCACGGATTGACACTTTGAGACACTTTGTTGTGAAGAAGGGGAGTCGGAGATAGGGTGGGAGGAGTGCGAGAGGGGAAGTGACGCTCGGTGATTATTCAATTGCTTGCTCAGCGAGCTACTGCTCGTCGACACTCTCAAATTAACCCATTAGTGCTGTGCTGATTCTTTTCCTTTCACTGCTGCTGCTGCGTCTTTTGTGGAAGTTTGAGCCGTGGTTGCCAACAAGGTTGGTGGGCGCTAATTTTAGCCGTTTTGCCGCTTAGGTAGCTCACAGTGCTCTTCGTCAGTGAGGAGCACTTGGCATCGGCTTTTACTACTTTTGGGTTCAATCGACATTTTTGGCGCTTTTGCCCACCAGTGTGAACGGTGAACCTTTTCTTGGTAATCCTTTCACTGGCGTCCGTTTGTCTTTCTTCCTGAAAGCAACTGTCTTTGCTTCGTTTGCTGTCTGTCATGCAACGATTGCAGTTAACAGAAAGGCAAAGATTCCACAAAACAAAAAAGGAAGGGAGAGAGAGAGATGATACTGATGAGGAATGCAAACGAGGGGACAGAATGATTGTCATGCCCCAAAATGGGGTGCCACACAGATAATTGGGCTAATGTTGGCAATATCTGTCGGTGGGTGACCTACATTAAAAATAAAATTTGTCAAGAGCCGTTAAGAGTGCCTTGCCTTTTAGTCATTGTTTTATTAATACTTTTTTTCATTTTCACCCTTTTCTAGAGTCTATTCAACAGCCTAAACCTCGGCAATAGCGTCAATCTAATGAACAGTTCATTTGCGTCCACTTCCAATGGTCACCTGCTACGCCAGAGGGGCTCTACGATGCCTCAGACAAACTTCTTCATCAATGAAACGCCTGAATTTGGACAGTGCTCAGATGATGATGAGGACGATGACGAGGAGGATGACGAAGATGAGGAAATGGACGAAGGCGAGGAGGACATTGACTTGGACCCAGACATGGCCTACCTGGCTGGACTGCAGTCCATCGACACTGACCTGACACGATTCATTGGCGGCCCAGCAGGGACTGGCACCTCCACACCACTGCTGCTCAATGACGCTATGCTAGGCTCGGCCATGTGGCCAAGCACTGGCACACAGCATACGATGGGCAAACCAGTGACCACAACAGTCTCTGCCGGTCAACTGCAGCAACAGCAACAGCAGCAAGCACAACAACAGCAGTGCACCGGCAGTTCTGCAGGTTACGTCTCCGACCGGACCAAGTTGAACTTGAACTTAAAACTGCAGCAGAAGCAGCAGCAGATGCAACAGCGAGGCCAACCACCAGCCACCTCAATACGATCGGCTAATTCTCAATCAGCATCTCAGCAGAAACCTAGTCAGGCATTCAATGCCAATTTTCAGGGACCTAAACAGACGACCACGGGCAAAGCAGCAAACCATCCTAAAGCAATCACTACTCCTTTGATGAAAAATGTAAACTCAAAAAGACTCACTTCTAGTTCGAAATCATCTGGAAAGTCTACCGCCGCCAGTACTTCCAACTTGAACTCCAACTGTTCTCCTTTAGTGCTCAATGCTTCAACTGGTATCTCCTCAATGAACTCAGCCAACAGTTCCTTTGTCAATTTTGATCCAGCTTCCTTTCTCGATTCATGTTTCAACACTGGTAATGTCAGTCCCGAATCGACGTCACTGCTCGATGGCCACTCATCACTCGATCAGATGCTGATGAACAACAGTGAGCTCTTGTTGCTAAACCAGCCCAATTCTGCTCTTGGTCAGACAATGACCACTGAGCAGCTGATGATGATGATTGGCTCACAGACGCCAATCAGTCATGGTGGACAGTACAGTGCGCCGACTAGCAAAGCTGTCTCCAGTGGGTCTAATTCGGGGGGATCATCCAGGTCAACTTCAAAGAACAGCAACAACCGCCAGCCTGTTTCTAGTCAGATTTTCGCCGGCACCCGCACGCCGACATCAATAATGCACCAGACAAATTCCTCCTCATTTTCCTCCAATTCAGGCAAACATTCAAACGCCGGCTCAGTGCAATTACACTTTAGTAGTACCCACGCCGGCAACGGCAGTTGCAGCAGCAACAACAGCAATAGTGCTTCACTCTGCCCAATGACAACTTCGACAGTGTCCACTTTGAGCAATCACAAACAGGCACAATCAGTGGCGCAATCGAAGGCAGCCAATCTGAACGCCATCATCAACAATCTTGCCTCTGCGAACAACGGTGCTGCTTCCGTTGGCGCCGGCGCCGGCAACCAAAACAGCGGCGGTGGCAGTCTCGATGGCAGCAGCAGCACTCAGCAGCATGCCGCTCAGCAGCTTTTTTCAGGTTCGGGTAATATTTCACTATTAACAGTAACAATAGTACCTTTTGTAACTGTCAATTGCATTTTCAATTTGTGCCATAGCGGGGAACTTCATCTTCTGCACAAACACGCCCACCTCATCCACAATTGCTTTTCCACCATCAGCAGCTGCTGCTTCCCAGCTGGACCAACGTCACTCGGTGACTTCGCTTGCCAACAGCGTCGTCTCCACGAGCACTGCTTCAACGCAACTCTTCTCCTTTCCGCCTGGCATCAGCGCAGGCGGCGTCGGCCACTCTGGCGAGGGCCCTCCGACAACACTGCTGCTACCTGCAAACCTGCACACTGCTTCCGGACAGCTAAGTATTCAGCAGCCAGTGGCCAGTGGAGCAGCCTCAGCAGGGGGACAGCACGCTCAGCAGCTCATCTACAATGCCTTTAGTCGCTTCATCTACCCATCATCGGCCACGAATGCCAACCAGGGCCAACAGTTTAACGTTAACAGGTCAGTGGAAACAAACAGTTCGGGGCCATTGGCTGGTGTTGTTGGCGGTGATTCCACGCAAACGATCTCCACGCTGATCAGCCATGATGGTCAACTGTACCAGCTCAATGTGGCAAACAACTCTGCCAGTCCTATTGCTCAGGTAAACCGCCCTTGTCAGTTGTATTTGAACTACATGGCAACTAAAAAATTAACTGTACCTTTTACTAAGCAGATCGTAACTCCGAACCTGCCGTTGGAATGTTCTTCCTCTTCCCGCCTTCGCATCAAAGCTGAATGTCACTCGGATGGGAGCAGCACCACCAACTCTAGCATATCGCTGCTGCAGCCCAATACCGCACTTTTGCACTCTGATTTGCATTCAATATCACTCGATTCACTGCTAGGCTCTAGTCTAGGGCCCACACCGGCTCCATTGATCACCACATTTCAGCCAACGCTAACGCCCATCAGCACTAGCAATGTGAATTCCTTTGGAAGTACAAAGTCTGGTTTGAAAAAGCAACGAAGTAAATAATGCGATGTTTATGTTTTTGCAACCTCACAGCCTTCACCTCCTTTGCTTCCACACACTTACTCTTTTGAACCTTGAGTTTTTCTAATCCTTTCATTTTCCATGTTCACCGGTGTTTGTCATTTCTGATCTACTTTGTAAACGGATTGTTATTTGCTGATATCATGATACTTGCCACCTTAATTTATTTATTCTGTCCAACTATTATTTTTTTGTCACAATGTTTGTTATTCACCGAATTTACAATTTGTTTGTATACAAAAAACCATTTTAAAACGGAGCATTTGATGGCTGCTCAAATAAATCGACTGAATTTTTTTAGTTTAACAGTTTTACTAAAAGTACTGAAATTGATACAAATCGTAAACTTATTTTTTTATTTTTAAAAAATTGCACATGTATTTGAAAAGCACCTAATTGAGATCTTTAACACAAAAGATTTTTAATAGGTAGTCAGATATGACCATAGTAGCCTGTTAGCCGCTTAAGTAAGAAGATTCTAAATGGTTTTTGAAAAGGCAGTAAATGTTGAAAATTGGAAAGGATAATAGAGGAAAGGAAGCTCAATTGAATACACGCCTCAATGTTTTGGTGGGAAGAAGAAATAAGGAAGATATTGAGAATATTGAGCGTGAAGGTTAAGGGTAATTAACTTATTCGTGAGCATTAGGAACCTTGTTCTCCCCATCACCAACCTTCTTCAAGAAAAGATCACGCTCTTGGTTGATCTTATCGAGCATGTTGCGCAGCATGGGAGTGTGAATGTACTTCTGAGCGGCAATGAAAAATTCATCAAAGCGAATGACTCGCTGATTCTTGTTCCACTCTTCACGTTCATACTGAAAAGCCTGCAACATGACATCAAAGCGATCCAGTTCCTTTACCACTTTGGCTTCAGCAGTCTCGCGAGATTCGTATTCGTCGTAAAGTTGTGAAAACTTTTGCGAAACACACGACGGAAGCAATGCAACTGGAAGTAAAAGCAATGGATTTAGTGAAAAGTACAGAAATACCAGAAAAGAACATACCCAAGTTCTTCATAGCTTCAGACTCACGGCGATGCTTCTCAGTCTCACTGAGATTGTCATAGGGAGTTATGTCCCCAGTGATGCATTCAGCCATATCGTGGACGAGCGACATTTGAATAATCTTCAAAATGTCCAACTTGGGATCATTTGCACTGTCGCCGGTTTTGTTTTCAAACATCATAGACATGACGCCCATTCGGTACATGTGACCTACAATGAAATGAAAGATTGTTAACATACTCAAAGTATCACAAAACTTATTAGATTTACCGGCGACAGACTCGGGCTTACGGACAGTTCGCTGAGGATCGAGGATCCAGCCGGTACGGTCAATTGTTTTGAGCTTGCCGACGGTGCAGAGAAACTGGATTAGCTTTTCGCTTTCATCAGCATCAGGCTTGACAGGGTATTCTGAGAGCTTCACAAAACTTCCGGGAAGAGCATCCAATCGCTGTCGATGCTCTTCCATTTTTTCAATCCTAAGATAAGCAAGAGAGAACTGAAGTACGAGATCAAATAATGACGAGAAGATTACGCAAACCGCGTGAGTGGAAGCAAAGCGTGAAAATGATAGGAAGTGTGAGTTTCAGGTCCTCTAGCGGCGAGTTTTTATATTTTCAAAATGTAAACACTGCAGTTAAATTCGCGAGCGCGAAATGACTCTTGTCAATATTTGCAACGTTTTTGGCTTATCTTCAACCAAACGACCTTTTACCATTAGAACTATAAAAGAAGAAAACATAACTCATTCACACTAAAAGCGGCAGTTTATTTCAAAGTAATTCAACCTTTATTATTTCACAAATCATCATTTTTCTAATCATGTTTCTAATATTACAATGAAAATTGTTTTTGTAAAACTCCTAGTAATCTAAAAAAAGTTATTGTTTTTATCTTCAACAAATCAAAAAATCAAAATTAGTGCAAAAACTAACTAAAAAATACACATAAAGACATGTATTTACGGAGCATTCTACGTGTTTTGTGTTAAAGTTAAAATTCCAAAAATATAATATAAGTTGCCACAAACAAAAGGTTGTAAGATTGTAGAAGTGTGTAAAGAGTTATACTGAGTGTATAAGTAAATAAATGCCCTTATTTTTTTGTTTAGTAAGATTCCAAGCCATTTTCCCTTTTAAAAATCACAAAAAATGCCAATTTTTCTTTAACTCAAAATGTCTTTGAATTGTAAGAAAAGTCTTCCAGTTGTGCGCAAAGGGCAGCAAAGGCAGCAGGAGGTTGAGTGTGTGCATGAGCAGCAAAAATGGCAGTGGAGTTTTTTAACTTTGAGTTTCATTTTGAAGCAATTAAATGTTGTGTTCCCTCTTAGGCGGCCTTGTTCTCGCCACCAATCACCACCAAACGACGAGGGTCCGATTGTTTGGGTTGAACTTGTGGCATGTACAGGTCAGCTGGTTTGTCTCCCACTCCCTGCAAGTGAAAGTATATTGGCGTTTTAGTAACAACAGTTGTTTTAGAAACTTAGTACAGCTCTCGTCATTCACTTACTCGTCGCTTAATCGTCTCCAGCATACCGCAGATGTTGCGATATGTGCCCGGACTAATGTGTCTTCGAAGCAGCTTATCAAAGAGTGGGTGTTGCATTAAAACAGCAAAGATTCGACGGCCAAAGTAGCGAGTGTGTGCAGAGGCGTCCTGTATGTAGCGAGCCACTGCAGGAAGAAGGTGCTCGGCAATGTCTCGAGGCCCCAGAAGACACTTCATTGCGCCCATCTTCTCAACGAGAGCTGAAAGAAACTGAGCACTCGTTCGGCGAACGTAAGTGTTCCGGTGACTGCAGTGGCAGTGAAAACAAAAAGATTAGTTTTGCAATTATCAACTCAGTTACCGAATCATCGATTTACTTGGATCCATATGTAATCAGCGACAAGGCGGCTCGTGTTTGCGGCATATAGTCGATCATGTGTTGCAGTGCCCGGTCAATGTCTTCTCGGATGAAAACACTGTTTTCGCCCACCTTATACATTAGTGCCTGCACTAGTATGTCCATTTCCTAATTTTGAAGGCATATTTTTGCAGTTAAATCTTTTCATTAATTGGATCACTTCACTTACCGGTTCAAGTTGCGACTTGAGCTTACTGAAAATCTCGCCAATGGTGAAAATGGCTGATCGAGAAACGGTAGAGCGGAGATTGCGAACTTCAGCCACCAAGTGAAGGGCAATTTGATGCTGGTCACGTATTAGAAAATGTGGGTGAAAGGTCGCCAGGCGAACCACTGCCAGCATGCCTTCCACTTTGGTTGTCCTAAGATTGTTCAGTCACAGTAGTAGTAGGTAGTTAGTAGTCTTGCGGTCATGTGCCCCGATAGAGCATCACTTACCAGGCATTGTCATGCAGTGCAATGACTGCTGCTTTGACCGCTTCAGCGGGATACTCAAATGGTCCCTCGGTTCGGGCGACATTTGCCAGAATGTGCTGAATGTTGGCGTTCATTGGAATGGCAGGCGTCGTCTTGATGTACAGCTGCTGCGGAATTCGAGACAGTCGGCGAGCAGGGGGGCCGGGATTGCCGGTCTTGCTAACACCCACTGCGCCCTTCTCCTTCTTCTCCCCCTTGGCAGTTGGCCCAGATGAGGGCGGTTTGTCTCCGGGTGGCTCGTTCACTTGAGCAGCTGAGGATGCATCAGCCGCTTCTTGAGATGCCTGCCGTTCAACTACAGTTTCAGCTTGGGTTTGCTGCTGCTCACCTGTCACGCCGATCTCTGTCACTTCCTCCTCACCGCCTGAGCCTTCAGCAGGGGCAGGAGCAGTTTCCTCCTCCTGACTGTAGCCCTTCTTCGAGGCAAGTGACTCCTGTTTGGTCACTTGCTTAGCCACAGACTCTCTCCTTGCCACCTTTTGCTGCACTTCTTCTTCTTCGGACACTGGCGAACGTCGATCACTGTCAGAGCCAGCACTCAGATTAGGCGTTGGCTGTTGAACTGAAACAACAGGAACTATGCTTTGCTTGCGTTGAGTTTGCAAATGAAAGTCCTCTGCTGGGACAGAAGCTGAAGCTGCTTCCAGTGTAGGGGAAGGAGTCTGAACTGGTTGGCCGTCCTCTTCAGCACCGCCAGCTCTACCAGCGGCAACAGGAGATCCACCTACACTGTCTCGATCATCGACATCTTCGATTTGATAGTCTTCTGCGCTTTCCATTCTGTCCTCTGGTGGCTTAGTAGACCCGTTGTCCTTCTTCTCCTCCTGAATGACCTGCTCCCACATGCCCAGCTCCTGGATGACTTCATCGCTGATGACATTGCCTTCCTCTACTGCGCCCCCTCTCGAGTCAGCCATTTCATCGGCTCCGGTGCCTGCTCCAGTAATAGTTGGCATTGAAACTGATCTCTCCAGAGGGTAGGCGTCATCAACCGTCAGCGTAGACTGCGGATAGTCATTCCCTTCGGGTGACTCAACCGCCCGACCAGCTCGGTACTTGGCAGACCAACTTGGCCCGGCCACGGATGGCTTTCGAGGGGGCGGCGATTTGACCGGCGACTCGCTGACGTCGATCACCTCTTGAGACTGCGATTTTTGCGCCTGTTTGTTCTGCTGCTGCAGCGACTCTGGCATGAAGCCGGAGCGTTTCATGATTTGCTCCATATTGTCCTGTTGCAGCTGAGAAAGGTCGTGGTACGAGTGTGACAGACCATTGTGGTAGTAGTAGTAGTAGGCGGCCGGGGAAATACCGTAAGGTGGAAGTGGTGAGCCGTAGAAAACTAGAGAAAAATTTTAATAGCAATGATGTATCCAGAAAAAAGGCTTTTGGTCATCACTCATATTTGCAACCAAATGTAAAAGTTTTAGATATTAATCAAGCTCGCTTTTCTAAAAATAATTTCTCACTAAAAATAAAACAGCTGCATTGAAATTCTAAATGAGGTTAATGAACGATTCCCCTGCATTCTACTTGAAATGACCACTGCACGACAGTCAGTCGCATTAATTAAAACAATTAAAGTTTCTTTCTGC